AAACAACTGCACCTCCCAGTCGCGAACCATTTCAACTCCCCCTCCCATTCCTCAGACGACATGTCCATCCTGGGCCTCCTGCAGTGCCACAACGATGCCACCCGAAGGTTGCAGGAACAGCAACTCATATTCCGCTTGGGAACCCTGCAGCCCAATGGTATCAATGTGGATTTCACAAGTTTCAAAATCTCCCCTCCCCCTACCGCATCCCAAAACCAGTCCAGCTCGTCCCTGCCTCCCTAACCTGTTCTTCCTCCCACCTATCCCCTCCTCCCACCTCAAGCCGCACCTCCATCTCCTACCGACTAACCTCATCCCGCCCCCTTGACCTGTCCGTCCTCCCTGGACTGACCTATCCCCTCCCTAACTCCCCACCTACACTCACCTTTACTGGCCCCATCCCCGCCTCTTCGACCTGTTTGTTTCCTCTCCACCTATGCTCTCCTGTATCCATCTTCTATCCGCCTCCCACTCTCTCCCTATTTATTTCAGAACCCCCTTCCCCTCCCCCTTTTCTGATGAAGGGTCTAGGCCCGAAACGTCAGCCTCTCTGCTCCTATGATGCTGCTTGGCCTGCTGTGTTCATCCAGCCCTGCACCTTGTTGTCTAAGTGGTATAACATACTGGATTGGTCTCAGCTCAAGTGGTTTGTCAATTCCTGCACACATTTTAGGAAAAATGTAAAAGCATTCGATATGGTTCAGAAATTAGTCATGAGAATGGTTCCAGGGTGAGGAACTTCAATTATGTCGATAGATTGGAGAACCTATACCTGTTCTCCTTGGAAAAGAGACATTGAGAGAAGATTTGATAAAGATGTTCAAAACCATGAGAGATCTGAACAGCAAAAATAGGGAGAAACTGTTCCCACTGGTGGAAGGATTGAGAATCAAAGGGCACTGATTTCAGATGATTGCCAAAAGAAGCAAAGGTGACATGAGGAAAAGTTATTTTAAGTGGTGTGTGGTTAGGGTCTGGAATGTATTATCTGTGTGTATGGTGAAAGAAAATTTAGTCTTGACTTTCAAAGGGGAATTTGATAATTATCTGAAGAGAAGAATTTGTAAGGCTACAGAACAGGGTGGTAGACTGAGGGTAAGTGAGTTACTCTTGCAGAGACACAATAGCCAAATATTCTCCCTTTGTGTTGTAACCATTCTATTAATAGAAAATAGAAAACACTGAAAAAAAGCACTGCATGTGAGTCAGCATCTCAAGAGAAACGACAGGTTATGACATTTTAAGAAGAGGTACTCTTCATCAAAGACCACACAAAACCTGCAATAATCTGTTACATTTTTTAAAAAAAATCTTAATTTGGTGTCCTATATTTTCATGCCATTATTTTGAGCCATTAATTATGTTAATTTGCTTTGCTACATAAGAATTAAATGATATGGCCCTCAGTTTGCGAAATCCTGTACTAACATAAAGATGTCACTTGCCACCATGGGCCATTGAAAAATCTGAAACAGGAGTAGAGTGCCTAAGGTGTATTGCACTTGAGTTTCTGAGCAGTGTAGTTGTTGTCTTATGTTACCAACCAGTGCAGGATTCCTAATTTCTTTCAGATAATGCCATAATAACCCTGCACTGGATTATTTTTTTAACACTACCATGATTCTGTTCTCAATCTTTAAAGTTGGCCTTGACATGCTAACCAGTTATAGGAGGCCCCTTAAAGGGTCCAGGTAATTTATTTGAAAACAATACATTAATTCGTTTTTGTGTCGGATTCATTTCCCTCAATTGTATATTCACATATCTTTGGTTTGTCGAGGATTGCCTCCATCGGCCTCAACTTGTATAAAGATTTGCCACTCAGTTCTTGATTTCATTTCTTTTATTTCTGTTTGTTTTAATACAGCACCATACAAGGAGTAAAGGACTGATACAACTCTGTGGACTCCATACATTCTGTGTCAACGAAATGAAGAGATGTTTATGACAGGCCTTACAGTCCAGATGTAACTGCACCTAAGGTGAGGCCTTACCTGATACCGACTCTTGTAATCCACATTTGGATGTGTTAGAGGAATCCTATCTTTGGGACATCTGCCTCTGTAACACATTGCTTGTTTCATTATCTGACTAGCGACCTGCTCACAAGATCTGAATCAAGAGCAGTTCCTCCTGAACAAATTAATGTTACTGTGCCTAACTTATGTAGATGATGCCTTCAGCATTAATATCAAAGAATGGATATCTGGAGGGTCACCACCTATATGGTTTGTCATGTGGAAAAATGCACCAGCTGGATGGAGAAAACAGATTTCATTGGATACAAAACATTTCACCTAACACCATGTAGGAATCAAACCTGTTGTTGTAAATCCTAGAGAAAGGATTTGCAAATAATTAACATTCAAGTGCTATGTGACAAACGTAATCTGTCTGTGCTTTACACCAAAACAAATTTACAGTAGTAAATGATGAGACATGGTGCAGTTGGAGTGGCAGGTTTCTAGAGTGTCCTACTATAACAAATGAACAATGGAATCAACATTTACGTTTATCTGATTACTGATAAGAATAACTGAAGATAGGCAGACATAGATTATCTTGTCATATCCCTTTGCTCTTTTGAGGTTCTTGCTGTGCCCGAATTGGTTGTTGTCCCATTCATTATAACAACGACTACACCGGAGAAGTACATTGTTCACTCTGAAAGTCTTTGAGTTGTCCTGCATTGTGAAAAGTTAGGTCTACACATGTTTCTTATTTCTAACCTGGTTTTATAAATCTCTCCAAATTCATTTTTATAAAGCAATAAGATGTAATACAATGGAGTTTTTAAAACAAACCGGTTGGATGATATAATGTCACCATTGTAAAATAAATAATGTAATATACACCATGGTACAATATGACATGTTGCTGCTGTAATATATGAATTGCTGGACAATTCTACACATGGCAAATTTTTGGGTTTTTAAAAGTCATGGAGACTGCGCAGCTTCCCACAAGAATTAAAACAAAGTGTAACTTTCCTTTGTCACTACTTCACTTATAAAACTGTCTTTTCAAATATTGGTAACTGTGTCAGCCCATTCTGTCATCTGAAGGTAATATATGAGTGGCATGGTGGCTCATTGATTAGTACTGTTGCCTCACAGCACCAAGGACCCGGGTTCGATTCCAGCCTCAGGCTGTGTGGAGTTTGTGCGTTCTCCCCATGTCTGCATCGGTTTCCTCCGGATGCTCCGGTTTTCTCCCACAGTCCGATGATGTGCAGGTTAGGTGGATTGGCCATGCTAAATTGCCCATACTGTCCAGGAGTGTGAAGGCTAGGTGGAGTAGCCATGAGAAATGCAGGGTTACACGGATAGGGTAGGTGATGGGTCAGTGTGGACTCAGGCCAAGTGACCTGCTTCCACAATGTGGGGATTTTATTCTGTGTAACGTGGAGGGTGGAGGCTAAAGAGGGAAAGATAGATAAATTAAATATTTTTTAAATTTAAAAAATTGTTAGGCTATTGTGTCCCCTAATGGGTTGTGTTGTGTGTTTGTGGGGTTAAAGTTGATTTCATTGCTTCACCTCTGTATGTAAGATGCTGTCATCAAGGGTAACAGCGTCACCACAAACCAATAAGCCAACACTGAGAATAGGAGCAATAGTAGGCCATTCAGCCCTTCAAGCCTGCACCGCTCTTGAATTTGATCATGACTCATCGTCCAATTCAATCCTTTGTTCCTCATATTCTTTGATCCCTTTTGCTCTAAGAAATTTATCTACCACCTTCTTGAAAACATTCAATGTTTTGGCCTCGACCACTTGCAAATTTGGCAAAAGGAGGTGCAAAATAGTCAGTAAAGAGTTTTTAACTTTCGACCAGATTCGTCAAGGGCCAGGAGACGCCACAAAGAAACTCTAGGCTTCCCATTTCTCAGTTGGCCACCTTCTGCTCACCTCAAGCCCATCCCTGATGCTCCTCACATTACGCCAGTGATCATTACCTCCCCTACTTCCACAGAGACATTCTCCAATTGCCATGTAGTCACTTGACAGCCCACTTTTGGGTTGCCTTGGCGATCTAATGAGGCCTGGCTGCTAACATCAGCTAAGGCTAACTGTTACCCCTCTTAGACAGGCTAGATCCTTGCTAGGCTAGAGCTCCAGCCTGGAAGTGGTACTGGGATCCTGCAGCTTGGGAGTCAGATTCTAAACTGACCGAAGAGCTGAGTGAGTGAGAAACTGAAAGAGGTACTGGAGAATGCGCTAGTCACTTTATAGAAACTCTCTTTAAAATATTTGACCAGTGTGAGTGCATTCCACCACTGCTCTTGAAAGATTTTACATTTACTGGCTCTGAATTTGACTTCTGTCCCGCTATGGAAGACTGCATGGCCACAAAGGAGAAAACAGGCATTTGCGTAGTGTCTAATAATGAGCTGAGCACCTCCCAAACTACTTTAAAGGTCAAATAAGCTCCCACATTATCTCCTGATCCTTAGCATTTACTTGGGAGGCAGGAAGTATCACCACCAAGTAATTGCCCAGATGGAATGAATCTCAAAGTTGCTGGTCTCTGACTTCAAATTTAAGAACACAGAAATTGGATTTGGGTACATGACGCCAAACGGGTGACTTCACAGCAGCAGTCCTTCAAGCCATCACCTTGAAGGTCCAAGTCGGCAGTATTAAAAGTCAGAGTTGACACTGAGCAGTCTGAGTTCAAGTTGTAAGCGGTTTATTCACATGCAAGGGGGAAGCAGCTCATAGGTGAGCTCATAGCTCACTGAGTCCCAAATAGTGACCTTATAGAGGTTTATAAAATCGTAAGGGGCTTGGACAGGGTGAATAGACAAGGTCTTTTACCCAGGGCAGAGGAGTCCAAAACTCAAAGGCATAGTTTTAAGGTGAGAGGGGAAGGATTTGAAAGGGACCTGAAGGGTAACTTTATTACACAGAGGGTGTAATAAATGAACTGCCAGAGGAGGTGGTGGAGATTGGTACCATTACGACATTTAAAAGGCATATGGACGGGTATATGAATAGGAAGGGTTTAGAGGATATGGGCCAAATGTTGGCAAATGGGACTCGATCAGTTTAGGAATTCTGGTTGGTGCAAATGAGTTGAACTGAAGAGATAACAAGGTGTAGAGGTGGATGAACACAGCAGGCCAAGCAGCATCAGAGGAGCAGGAAAGCTGACGTTTCGGGTCTGGACCCTTCTTCCAGAAATGGGGGAGGGGAAGGGGATTCTGAAATAAATAGAGAGAGGGGGAGGCGGATGGAAGGTGGATAAAGGAGCAGATAAGTGGAGAGGAGACAGACAAGTCAAGGAGGCGGGGATGGATCCAGTAAAGGTGAGTGTAGGTGGGGAGTTGGGATGGGGGTTGGTCAGGCAAAGGAAACGGACAGGTCAAGGAGGCGGGGATTAGGCTGGGAGGTAGGAGGTGGGGGTGGGGATGGGGGTTGAGGTGAGAGGAGCAGATAGGTGGGAGAAAAGATGGGCAGGTCAAGGAGGCGGGGACGAACTGGGCTGGTTTTGGGATGAGGTGAGGGGTGGGGACAAGCTGGGCTGGTTTTGGGATGAGGTCGGGGATGGGGAGATTTTGAAGCTTGTGAAGTCCACCTGGAAACCGATATCCATTTCAAGCCTACTGAATCCCACAGCTACCTAGAATACACCTCCTCTCACCCACCTTCCTGCAAGAGTGCCATCCCCTATTCCCAATTCCTTCGCCTCCGCCGCATCTGCTCCCGAGATGAGGCATTCCACTCCCGGACTTCCCAGATGTCCTTGTTTTTCAAGGACCGCAACTTCCCCTCCACAGTGGTCGAAAACGCCCTCGACCGCATCTCCCGCGTTTCCCGCAACTCATCCCTCACAACCCCTCTCCGCGATAACAACAAAAACAGAATCCCCCTCGTCCTCATGTACCACCCCACCAACCTCCGGATTCAACGCACCATCCTCCGCCATTCCACCACCTGCAATCTGACCCCCACTACCAAGGACGTTATTCCCTCCCCACCCTTATCTGCCTTCCCAAGGAACCGTTCTCTCCGTGACTCCCTTGTCTGCTCCACACTCCCTGGAAAGTTTTCCCTGCAACTGCAGGAAATGCTGCACCTGCCCCTAAACCTCCCCCCTCACCGCCATCCCAGGCCCCAAGAAAACCTTCCACATTAAACAGATGTTCACCTGCACATCTGCTAATGTGGTATATTGTATCCGCTGTTCCCGATGTGGCCTCCTCTACGTCGGGGATTCCAAGTGGATGCTTGGAGACCGCTTTGTGGAACACCTACGCTCGGTTCGCGACAAACGACTGCATCTCCCAGTCGCGAACCACTTCAGTTCTCCCTCCCACTCCTTGGATGACATGTCCATCCTGGGCCTCCTCCAGTGCCACAATGATGCCACCCAAAGGTTGCAGGAGCAGCATCTCATATTTCACTTGGGAACCTGCAGCCCAATGGTCTCAATGTGGATTTCATAAGCTTCAAAATCTCCCCATCCCCGACCTCATCCCAAAACCAGCCCAGCTCGTCCCCGCCTCCTTGACCCGTCCGTCTTTTCTCCCACCTATCCCCTCCTCCCACCTCACTGACCTACCCACCAGCCTCATCCCTGCCTCCTTGACCTCTCCGTCTTTTCTCCCATCTATCCGCTCCTCTCACTTCAGCCCCCACCCCCATCTCCTACCTACCAGCCTCATCCTGTCTCCTTGACCTGTCCGTCTTCCCTTGACTGACCAACTCCCATCCTAACTCCCCACCGACACTCACCTTTACTACCTACACTCACCTTTACTGGCTCCATTGGCACCTCCTTGACCTGCCCGTCTCCTCTCCACCTATCTGCTCCTTTATCCACCTTCCATCCGCCTCACTTCTCTCTATTTATTTCAGAATCCCCTTCCCCTCCCCTATTTCTGAAAAAGGGTCCCAACCTGAAACGTCAGCTTTCCGGCTCCTCTGATGCTGTCTGGCCTGCTGTGTTCATCCAGCTCTACACTGTGTTATCTCAGATTCTCCAGCATCGGCAGTTCCTACTATTACTTGAACTGAAGAGGGTCTGTTTCCATTCTGTACAGCTCAATGCCTCTAATCTGATTGTTTAGTGGAATAGGTTACAAGGCCTGAACGGTGAACTCCTAGTCCTGTGTTTTGCGTGCGTTAGAATAAAGGAGAGAACGCAATTTTTTTAAAAATCACACATCGTTTCTAAGCCAACCGGTTCTCTCTATGCGTCGCTGCGCAACAAGTTGGAAAAGTTACTGTGATAACAAGGTGTAGAGCTGGACGTGCTGTGTGCGTCCAGTTCTACACCTTGTTATCTCAGATTCTCCAGCATCTGCAGTTCCTACTATCTCGGAAAAGTTACTGTGTTCTCGAACTGCCGGAAATATGCACTAACACTTGTTTTTTTTCTTGGGGTTTTCGTGCTCAACCCATAGTGTTCTTCATGAAATCATACTGTCATTGTAATTTACAATTAGCATTTTATAAAATTCCTCTTAACCATCTTTCTTCTAAATGAAAAATCTTTCAGGTTTCCAATCGACGGCACTTCATGACTGATTTGACCAGCCATACTGGTCTCCGAGTTGTATCTATTTAATCTACAATATACCCAGTTATTCTGCAATCCTTTTTTTTAGTGACAATACTGCTCCATATTTGCATGTGCAGAATCCACGCACTAACGGTTATTGTTCAATATCGGAAACAAAGCAAGAGTATCTGCTTCTTCGACACACTAAGAACGAAGTTCACGGTACACAGGAAGTCGAAGGCTTGCCGGGGTGTTTTTAAAATGCAACTTCCCGCTAAATTGGAGCTATGCCGTAGTCGTTTAATCCTAACCACTCTGAGATTGCCTACATGAGACGATTTTGCATTTCTTATTTAAGAGTATTTGGAAACTAGGAACATTGACTAATTCTTGTTTATGCATTGCTGCACGTTAGAAGCGTTCGCATCAGACTGAAATTAGAATTGCAATTGCAGCCTGTGGTGTTACAACAGAGAGATTAAATTTATGTTTTCAAATTTTGGCCCAGATTACCAACATAAGGGAAGTGTTACACTAATCCACTCTTCATACCATATGTGGCAGTTTTTAAAACTGTGTTCAGGAAAGTTTCTGACACATTTTAACATTGACATTGATGGTCTTGCACGGCAGCCTTTTAAAGGCTGAGAAATAATATTTTGATGGAGGCGAAAGTTTGTACAGAACCAGGCATTAAGTGAATGTGAGCGGTTTCTGTTCAGTAGTCTCTGTGTCTACTATTTTTATCAATACTCAGGCATTATATGGTCTGATATTTTTCCAGCCCTAATGTGGCTGAAATCAGAGTCAGAAAATACAAGAGAAGGAATGGCTCCCCAACACATTACCACAACTAGGAAAATTTTGTTTGTCTGCTCACCAGAGGTGGATATCGAAATTGTATAACTAAGGTGCCAATTAACCATGAGTTGGAGGGTTCGGCGGCATTTTGCCTGACGTGGGGAAGCTGCCAGCTCAAAGTACTTTCCCTGTCACTCCGGCTGCATTTGCAGTCCAAACCTTGTAGCCAGAGGGCCCTACCTGCTCAACATTTTGAATTTTCACCTTGAATATATGCCCCTGAGGATGCCTCTTTGCATTCTCATCTGGACGGGGCTGCAGAACTGCTAACCCCTCATTCAGCTAGCAGCATTCTGGGGGGTTGCCCTTTTTTGTACATACTGATTTCTGCTTGAACCATCTAGGATATCTTGGGTAGATTTGTTGCTACTATTCTTGTTGCTAGTACTGTATTAGTCTCGGCTACTGCTACTATGCCAGGTAGAATGCCCACAGGCAGCTGAGACAGAGCAGTGAATAGGTTGATTATGTATTTATTAATAGCTAGTTACATTGCATTTGAATGACAGTCATTTGTGAGACATTAGACCCAAGTTATGAATGGGTCCATATTACATTCTCGTTCAACACGGGTAACAAGCACATAACTCTTAACAACTCTTTACAATTCTTTTGAGAACTGGCTCACCCCTCCCAGGAACAATTTTTTTATAGCCTGATGGGCAGAACTTATTTTCAGATGTACTTAACCTTGTGAGGCACTATTATACAACTGGAGTGATTACTCTGAATGTCAAAGTGGCCTCCTGTGCATGTGCAGAAACTGGTTGTGACATCAACTGGCTATGACTGCATCTGCATATCTGATGGAGTAGTTCTCTACAGTCTTGCCACCTGACCATCATTTGCCACAGCAGATGGTATTGCACAGGTGGAGTGCGCAACAGCATTTGGAACATGCACAGTGAGAGTGCTGACAATGGACAGTCACTCATTTGTCAGATCCATTATTGGTGGGTTTTCGGTCAGGTGGAGTGAGCGGCTGGACTAGGCAGTTTTGGAAACTTGTAGGTCACAAATCCCAGAAAATAACTTTAAACAGAAAATGCAAGTGATGTTTGTGGCATCTGCTGTTTTGGCACTGCAAATCAATGCTCCTACACATGTATGGGTACTACAGCACCAAGCGATGGCACTCACAATAAACACAGCCTTAGACAACACTCTCCTTCACAGGATATCAAGAATGAAGGTAGTAATTATGAGGCTACAATTAGAAACAGTAATAGACCTCTTGGCCTCATTCATCTGCTCTGCTATTCAATAAGGTTGTAGCTGATCTGATTGTGGACTCTTATGGAGTTTAGAAGAGTCAGAGGTGACTTAATTGAAATATGCAAGATTCTGAGGGGACACAATTGGTGAATGTGCAATAGTGTTTCCTGTTGTGGGAGAATCTAGAAAATGGGTCATTATTTAAAAACAAGGGTTCATCCATTTAAAAGAGATGAGGATTTTTTTTTCTCTCTGAAAGGTTTGTCAGGTTTAGAATTGCCTTTATCCAAAAGCTGTAGATGCAAAATCTTTAAAGATTTTTCAAAGCAGCAATGATTATCTAGGGCTCTTGTGAAGATTTATAGCTCGGGTTGTGGATGAGGTTGTTGGCTTGCTCGCCGAGCTGGCTGGTTATCATACAGATGTTTTGACACCATGTTGGGTAACATGATGATGTTAGCAACAAGCCAACAACCTCAGCATTATTGTCAGGAGTATGCAGGAATGTACATTTGAGGTTAAAATTAGATTAGCCACAATCTCATTGAATGGCAGAGCAGACTACAACTGATTGCCTACTCTTGTTCCTTGTTTCTATGTTGAAGTAACCCTTATAATCAATAGTCATTATATTAAAACAAAATAGAGACCAGAGTGATTACAGTAATACAATAGTTACAAAATTAAGACACCGAAAGGTTTAGTCTTTTAAATTGGTCACTCGAACCCTGAATAAGATTCAAAATTTATTCTTTCAATGTGTGTATTGGCTTTGTCAAATTGTGGGCCACTTTACTTCAGTGAGTCTTTATTATCACAGAAATGAATTGTGAAAGTTAATCCAAAGGCTACCTCTTCATTGTGACCACATCAAGTGGAGAAGGGAACCTTAAAAAAATCTTTTCCCCACCTGCATATTCACCATGTTAATATTATGCTTCACATATTGATGAGTGATCTTTCTAATTACCAACATGTTTCATACTGTTGATACATGATGTTTGACAGTGAAAGCTCAATATTTGTGACAATGCTGCTGCATGCTTATGAAGAATTAACTTTTAGTTAATTATTAGGTTGTTCTGCTCCCAGTACACAAATATGTTTCTTCGCTTAGTCATCATCATTGATTTAAACGTACATATAAATTTACAAGGATGCTGCCAGTACGAAAGGGACTGAGTTATAGGGAGAGGTTGGACAGGAGATTGAGGGATGATCTTATAGAAGTGTATAAGATTGTGAGAGACATGGATAGGGTGAACACACTCAGTCTTTTTCCCAGGATTGGGAAATCGAGGACTAGAGGGCATCAGTTTAAGGTAAAAGGGAAAGAATACATGGGAACCTGAGGGGCAACTTTTTTATGCAGAGGATGGTATGCATATGGAATGAGCTGCCAGCGGAAGTGGTTGAGGCGGATACGTTAACAACATATAAAAGGCATTTGGACGAATACATGGATAGAAAAGGTTTAGAAGGGTACGGGCCAAGTGCAGGGAAATGGCGTTAACATGGACGGACATGTTGGTTGGCATGGAACAGCTTGGGCCAAATGGAGTGTTTCCATGCTGTTGGACTTTATGTCTCTATCATATGGTATTCCTATCCTTTTGTGAATGTTATCAGGACTTAATGAATATTAGTCATTATCAAAATGTAAATTCTAAACAGAATAAGAGCTGTAAAAACAGTGTATTATAGCCAGAATCAAAGAGGGGTAACAGTGAATTAGAGACTTTATTTTATTTAAACAGGACTTAATTACAGCGAGTGATTAATTAGCATTAGAGACACTGTTAGTTTAAATTGAACTCACTGGCAGCAACTGTTTATTTTAAATGATATATATTCAATTTATCACTGTTGCTGGCATGGTAGAAAAAAGACTTTTATTTACATAGCACCTTAAAGTGCTCTGGACATCCCAAAGCATTTTACAACCATTGATGAATACATTGAGAATTAAGAGGCAGAACAATATAGATCTAAAGTTAATAAAGTTGATTGTGATGGTTATACTCATGGCATATGGCACACCATGAAACATCCAAGTAATCAACTACAGATTATTTCAGACTAATGCTGCAGTAATGATGTCACAATCATTAATCCTTCAAAGTAAGACTCCTCACTTAACAATTACCACCACTGGAGTCAATATTTTAAGTCGTTAAAATAAAAACAGAAGATGCGCAGAATACACAGTAGCTCAAGATTGCATTTGAAAAGAGAAAAAGCAGATTCTGATATGTCAGATAGATGCCATTTTTTCTGAATAACAATAACACTATCACAAATGAGCTAGTCCAGAATCAGCAAAGTTGGCCAACAGGATGAAAGAGAACAATAAAATTAACCATTGATGAATAAAACCTCTCTGAAACTGACTTCCTGAATGTTACAGTGCTCTCCAAAATTTGCATTCAAAGATGTAAATATTTCTACTGAAAACCACTGTTAACTTTGGAAATTATAATTTAAAAAAATCCTTCTCTCCAGCACTATTTTGTGTCTAATGTAATTACAGGGGCAGGAAGATAAAATTATTTGAACTTTGTTTCAATCTTGGTATCCAAATTCTCATTAAGGGTAATGATTTGTGTTCATCAGCAGATATCTGTTATTCTATTTATGGCATCAGGCTATTGAAATAATTGTTTGCAATTTTACAGTAATTCTTCAAGGTGCAAAGTGTTCACTATGCAAATTAAGTAGTGTACTATTGTGATATTTGGGAATCATTTAAGATCCAGCCAACTCCAGATAACCATTTTAATTATTGTAGGTTTATGAAATTGTTCTGTTTATTTCAGTATGAGAGATGGACACAACGTTGGCATTATTTGACCTGTTTCAATAAACTTAGTACATTATTGTGAAGAATTTTCTGTAGTGATTACATGATAAATGACTTATTCAGCATTCTGTTTAAAATAAAATATTGTAACTTTTGGAATGTATTTCTGTGAAATTTCATTTAAAGTTGTATGTTTCAAACAGTAAATGACTGAAAAGTTTCCACTTTATAGTTATAGTGCTTTATAGAGGTGACATAAAAAATGGATATCGAGCAAAAGAAGGAAATATTAGAAGGGATGACTGAAAGCTTTTTTAGACCTATGTTTTAAGGAGGGAATTTGATGAGGAAGGTCAGTTGGAGAGGTTTAGGAAGAGAATGCCAACACCAGCCTAACCAATATACTGTTTGAGATTATTTAAATATTGTTCTATCTCTTTGCTTGTTCGTTTTTAAAGTCTCACAATTGTATTAAAAACACTAAAAATTCAAAAAAGTAAAAATCTTATTAAACCAATTTACAAAGTGTAACCATGAGAGGATTTATTATACTTTTTATGGTTATTGTTGTACAGTAACTTAATGTAGAGGGCAATATACAAAATAATGGGGAACTACTAAATTTATAGCATCATTATAATGGAACAAAAACATTGATTCATAACATAGAATATATTGGATTGCGAATGCACTGTTGCTCGAGTGGAAGTTGAACCTTTTTCGGTACCTTGTTGCTTCACTACTTCCTAAAGTTAATTTTAGTACTGCAACCATGCAGAATGCGCCTCAAATTTGACCTGTCGCATGAAACAACCGGTAACTAGGGATGCATATCGTTTGGGATACGCGCGCACACACACACACACAGATTAAGCAAGTGGTGTCACACTATTTTATCACATCTGAAATATCACACGAAAAGTCCTAACATCCTGTGCCATGACGGCACATGATCCTCGTATTTGTCTTTTTTTTCGTTAAATTCTATCTTTCCTCGGGTTCCGTAGCTGCGAAATGTTTGTGAAATATATATATTATTTATAAAACAGGCAGTCACATTCCATGTTTCTTCCTGATGACCGACATGGACAGTAATTTCTCCTTATTCCTCAGCTCCTCCCGCAGGATGGCCTCGCTGACCTTCAGTTGCCGGATGGTGCCTTTCATCTCCTTGATCTTCACCTCCATCAGGGCGATAATGTCCTTCTGCTCGTTGAGTTTCCTGAGCAGCTCCTCGGAGGTGGTGGTGGAGGAGAGTGAGTAGGAGTGATCTAGGCACTCGGGAGCCTCGGGGCGAGGGACGGCGGCGGCGGCGGCCGGGAGAGAAGGCGAGGATGAAGAGGAGGAGGACGAGAAGAAGTAAGGTCCGGACAGGTCAATGGGCTTGACGTCCTCCTGGCCGGCGGCGGCTGCTGGTAGCTTCTTGCGGGAGCGCCTGATCTTCCTCTCGTTGACCCCTCGGAGCGGGAAGATGGTAGGGACCTTGACTGAGTAGGTCTTCCTGCCGCCGGGGAAGTGGGCGCTGCACACCCGGTGTCCGGTGGTAGGATAGAAGGTGCTGAAGCAGCCCGACACTCCGGTGCGGGAGATGTTCTGAAGCCAGAGTCGGCGCTGCTCCTCATCCTTGGGGAAAGTGTAGAAGCGGAGCTCCCGGTCCCGGTGCGAGTTGTTGTAGCAGCCGGGCACGCAGCAGGTGAAGCCGGGCATCCTGCCGCTACGATCCCCGGGGCCAGCGCTGCCCGAGAGGCCTCTTCAATCGCAGGCCTGGCTCCCCGGACTCTCCTGTTCACACGATGCCCTCTCTACCCCACTCAAATCCCCCCGGGTTTATTTATTTTCCCCCCAAACACCGAGTTGGCTGCAAAGCGCAGGCCGCACGGCGGAACTACATCTCCCAGGGTGCAGCGCGACACACGCAGCCACTTCCGGTCAAACAAACAAACTGCTGCAAAAAAGGAGCAATTAACTTTTCTTTCAAAAATAATGAATGCATTTTCGCATGTTTCTGCTAATTTGTATTTGGTTATTATTACACTGATCAACACCTCACAAATTCCATTTACTGTGGTTCCATTTTATCATATTTTTGCATCATACAATCGCATTTTTGTTTTACTGTTACTCTACACCCAAAGCAATAAACATTTTATTACATGAAAATAGGCTGAGAGCTTGCTACCACAGTTCACAGACATAACTAAAAACTGCATTTATAAATGATGTAAACCAGATCCTATATCTTATCTGAGATAGTAGGAACTGCAGATGCTGGAGAATCTGAGATAACAAGGTGTAGAGCTGGATGAACACTTCTGAAGAAGGGTCTAGGCCCGAAACGTCGGCCTTCCTGCTCCTCTGATGCTGCTTGGCCTGCTGTGTTCATCCAGCTCTACACCTTGTTATCTCTTACCCTATATCTTGTCTATTTTGTTCACAGGAGGAACATGACAATCCTGTTTGAAAATTGATCAATCAATTAATTTTACTGATACAAAAACAAAATTGCCGGAAAAGCTCAGCAGGTCTGGCAGCATCTGTGAAGGAAAAAGTAGAGTTAATTTTTTGGGTCCAGTGACCCTTCCTCAGAACTGGACCATTTTGAAAGAGTCACTGGACCCGAAAAGTTAACTCTTTTTTTCCTTCACAGATGCTACCAGACCTGCTGAGCTTTTCCAGCAACTTTGTTTTTGTTCCTGATTTACAGCATCCACAGTTCTTTCGGTTTTTAATTAGTTTTACTGATGATGTTTATCATCATTTAAGGTGTTATCTCAAAGCTGTTTTCCAATTGAAATTTTGAAAATTTTGATTGAACTCATCCATTTTTAAAACACCGCCAATAAAGTTACAAAAGTCAATTTCTGCCAACAGTAAAACTGATATCAGTGAAAGTGACCATGATGTGGAGGAGCCAGTGTTGGACTGGATGGACAAAGTCAGAAGTCACACGACACCAAGTTAAAATCCAACAGGTTTATTTGAAATCACAAATCAGGTGAAGTGGCCACAGTCCCAGACTCTCATTAGAGAGAAAGACAACTATTGGTGCATTATTGTAAGGTTCTAATTTCACTCATGTTCTGTCTGGATCCATACATTTGTTGCTTTGAGGGCAACTATGACTGGGTGAAAAATGTAACATTGCTCCTATTCTGAGAACAAATTATGTATATACTATATATTTAGTACTGGTCTGTCAAAGAAGTGGAAATATTTGTTTACTGTGATCATGATAACCATTCAGGACTGCAAGCAGGCTAGCATGCCGTGGATTCACAATTTGATCACAATATTTTGCACATGTCGTTGCTTAGGCAGCTTAACATGAGCTCCACATTGTCAGACGGTATTGTTGGAGCTAAAACCAGAACCAGTAATTATTTTAATATTTTTAATTTACACAAAAATTAATTATGGAGAATCAGTTTTTACAATTATTGGTACAGAATACTCAAAACTTGCCTTGAGATTTAAATAAGTCATTCTGTAATGGAATTATTTTAACTGAGATGCCAATGGACATAATGGGCCCTTTGTTATTATCACCAAATTTTGTCTCATTGCAACAAGATGGAAACAAAAGGTTAAAATGAGGGAACTGCAAAATCTCAATACTCGGCTTCACTTATACGCCTCCAAGGTTGGGGGTATGTTCTTTTGGAGTTGATCAACTTTATTTTTCAACAAAATGGTAACTAAATATTAAATATTTTTATGAAGTGAACAGGAACACATTACCTGTCTGGAGAACTGTTTGGTAGAACAAAGTCAATTGCTGTTTTGTATTTTTTAATTGTTGTAACAATTAAGTAATTCTGTTTACTTACATATGACAAACTTACAAGAATTGTTATCTAAACAGACAAAGATATTAACCACAAAAACTAGGTATTAATTAGATCCTCATTACAAGTGGCTCATTAATTGTGGTGAACTGTTGATCCTGGAAACCAACAATTATCACCAAATAATATCTGTGCATTCGTCTAATCTTCTTATCACGGACATTTTGCAGCACAGAAGTAAGTGATTTTCCTCATTATGCCTATGCCTGCTTTTCAAATGAGCATTATGACATAGTGCCATTCTCTTGCTTTTTCCATACACTTCACATTGTTTCTATTCAAATAATCAGCTAATGGTCTCTTGAATGCTTTTATTATACCTGCTCCAATATACTTTGATGCAGTGCATTCCAGATCTGAACCACTCATTGAGTAAGAGTCTTTTCGTCACATCGCATTTGCAAATCACTTTAACTCTGTGCCCTGTCATTCTTGATCCTTTAACAAGTGGAAACAGTTTCTCCCTAACTATTCTATCCATACCTCTTGTGGTTTTGAAAGCTTCAGTTAGATCTCCTCTTCGCCTTCTTCCCTCCAAGGACAACAGTCCCAACTTCTCCGATCTGTACTCATAACTGAAGTTTCTCTTCCCTGGAACCATTTTTGTAAAGATGTTCTGCATTCTTCTTCAGATGCATTCACACCCTTCCTACAGGTTGGTACCTAGAACTGCAAAAATACTCCATCAGAGGTTGAACAAGTATCTTGTATAATTTCAGTAAATTGCCCCTGCTGTTGTACTCTATGCCTCTATCAAATAAAGCTCTGGTTACTGTAAGATCAGAGATAGCAAGAACTGCCGATGCTGGAGTCAGAGTCAACACAGTTGAGCTGGAGGAACACAGCAGGTAAGGCAGCATCAGAGGAGTAGGAAAGTCAACATTTCAGGTCGGGACCCTTCTTCAGAACTGGGGAGGGAGAAGGGAGCTGGGAAATAAATTGAGGGAGGAGGGATGGGGCTGGGGTAAGATAGGTGGGATGGTGGTAGGTGGTTGCAAGTGGTGGAGTAGGGATTGGTCAGTGGGAAGGGTGGGGTGGATAGGTGGGGAAGAAGATGGACAGGTTGTGTCAGGTCAAGGAGGTGGGGATGAGAGGGAGGTTTGGATGTGGGATGAGGCCAGGGGTGGGGAGATTTTAAAATTGGTGAAGTCTATGTTCAGGCCATATGGCTGTAGGCTCCTGAGGTGGAATATGAGGTTTTGTTCCTCCAGTTTGCGTGTAGTGTCATTGTTGCACTGGAAGAGGCCCAGGATGAATGTGTCATCAAGGGAGTGGGAGGGGAAGTGAAAATGGTTAGCGACCGGAAGGTGTTGTCAATTATCACACACAGAGAGCGCAGATGCTCCATGAAATCGTACCCAAGTCGGTGCTTGGTCTCACCGATGTAGAGGAGGCCACATCAGGAGCAACGAATACAGTAGACCAGGTTGAAGGATGTACTAGTGAACCCCTGTCGGATATGGGAAGTTTATTTTCGGCCTTGGATGGAGATGAGAGGGGAGGTGTAGGGGCAGGTGTAGCACTTCCTGCGATCGCAGGAAAAGGTGCTGGGTGTGGTGGGGTTAGTGGGGAGTGTGGAGGGGACGAGGGAGTCACGGAATGAGCGGTCCCTACAAAAGGCAGATAAGGGTTTCCTCTCACCCACCCCCATGTAAGAATGCGATCCCTTCCACCTAATTCCTTCACCTCCATCGCATCTGCTCCTAAGATGGAGCGTTCCACTCCTGGACATCCCCGATGTCCTCAGGACTGCAACACCGCACCCCTTCCACTCCGTGATTAAAAATGCCCTCAACCACATCTCTTGCATTTCCCACACTTCTGCTGTAAAACCCTCTCCCCCCGCAACAAAAATAAAGACAGCGTCCCCCTAGTCCTCAAATACCACCGCACCAATCTCTGCATCCAACGTATCATTCTCCACCATTTCCGCCACCTACAATCCGACCCCACGACCAAAGAGATATTTCCCTCCTTACCCCTATCTGCCTTTTAACTCCCCCTTCCACTCCCTGGGTGACATGTCCATCCTGGGCCTCCTCCAGTGTCACAATGATGCCACACACAAACTGGAGGAGCAACACATCATATTCTGCCTCGGGAGCCTACAGCCCAATGGCCTGAACATTGAATTTCTACCACAAAAATAAAATAATTCCAGCAATTCAAGGTAGTGACCTAAATGGACCATGTCACCAACTCTCTTGTTCCTCAACTCCTATTGTGTTATCAGCCTGGATAAGTCACAATTTATCTCAGTTAAAAATTGGATGGAGCACTGTGCAATATTGTTGAGTTCTCAGAATGATATCCCATCTGAATGCAGCAGCTCTCAGAATGCAGCACTCCCTTTTCAGGTTCTGTAGAAGGGTTTCAGATTTGAAATGTTAACCCCGTCTCTCTCCCCACTGGTGCTGCTAACCCTTTGAGTTTCTTCAGCAATTTCTATTTTTATTCACTCATTATCCTAGATTGTACATTCAAGTTCCCTGATTTCTGTCAGTTAGGTTTCCTGGAGCATAAGGTCAGATGTATGCACACACCATACTACATCATCTCTTAGTTTGTTCCATTCTATATATAGTCAAAGACAATGTAGAAAACTTGGTGTAACATGTTGATAAAGGCGTTAGACTTAAATTGAAATCATGACACTTCTAAACTTTAATTTTTCCAGTAGCAACAAAAGACAATCAACTGGCACTGAGGTGCCCATCTTGACATGATGTTTTGCACTTGGAATATAGTCTACCATTGTGCATCCTGGAAAATAACCTTCATTAAGTCATTCCAACTTCTGGGTTGATGGCCTGAACAATGAAGCAGTGCTTCTGCCAGGTGTGGATGTCTAGAATCATAGAATCCCTACAGTATGGAAGCAGACCATTTGGCCCATCAAATCTACACCAACCTTCTGAAGAGCATTCCACCAGACCAATTCCCTACCATATCCCTGTAACCTTGCATTTCCTATGGCTAATCCCTCTAGCCTACACAGCCCTGGACACTAAGGGCAATTTAGCATGGCAGAGCCACCTAACCCGCACATCTTTGGACTGTAGGAGAAAACCAGAGCACCTGGAGGAAACCCATATAGACACAGGGAGAACATGCTAACTCCACACAGACAGTCGCCAGAGGATGGAATCAAACCCAGGTCTCTGGCTCTATGAGGCAGCAGTGCTAACCACTGAGCTGCTGCGTTGCCCCATTAAAAGAAAATGAAAGAAGTTTATTGAGTTGCAAGTATAATTTAATGAACTTGGTTAAACCCAGATTAAGGCATATTGGTCATTTTTAACAATCTCAATCCTTATAAAAGTATAATTTTTTTTTATTGGGTTGTCAACCCTTCAGCATTGTCCTGAGGTTTCCAGGAAATAAAGATTAATCTCCTCAAGACTGGCTCAAGGAACATGCAAGAAAATGTCACAGATGCAAGAATTATTTTTACATTTTCTTTAAACATTTTAATTTATTAATTAAAAAGATTATTGAATTGGAGGAAGGGATTATTTTACTGAGCGGAGCATTTGGAGGTGGGAGCTCTTGATCCCTCCTGGAATATGTCCAACAAAAGCCAGCAATCCTAGCTCCTGTAGTTTTGCAAAATTAAGTAAAATAGTGTGAAGAAGGTGAGGGAGTGGCCCAATATGAAGAGCATTTCTTTTAACAGCGAGGATAGTTAGAACTATTCATTGTCATGGGTAGAATCTATAAGTCCTTTCCAATGGACTGAGTTAATTGCTTTATTTAGTGAATATTAATGAGTATTAAACAGAAGAGTAGTCCTCAGCTAGAGTGCTTACATGGGGATGATATAATTTGACTGCTTGCGAAGCAGCAAATTACCACTTCAGATCTGTAATGCAGGAATTTGTCCTCTCTAGGCCGTTCCCTGGACAGCTGAGACAAACATCAACTGCACCTGGAGGACCATCAACTTGGTGAAAGATGCTCTTTGGCCTGTCTGAAACCTGTTGAACTTCCAGTGTAATGTTGTCCTCGACCAAGTATTGTGGTACTAGCACATTTCAAAATCTAACTACTGGGTGACGCACTAAAGCTTGAAGCAGCTGCCACCAAAGCATTGTGGGAAAAGGCCACTGTCTCAGGCCTTTTATTGCCATGTTATCCTGAGGGTCTGCTAACATATAGAAATCCTCATGGCTTGTATTGGGTATGTAAATAGTTCCAATTTTGCATTTGGATGAGGGCACCTAAAATTGCAATTCACAAATGAGAAATGAAATATTTTTATTGTATTTTCTGAAATGTCTGACTTAAACTGTTTTGTACTGTACTTATAATTTATTAAAAAAATATATTTTTGGAAAAAAAACATTTTTTGCTGCAATATACAAAATGTGACATCAATCCAGAGTTCTAATAGAGCTTCAACTAACTTGGCAATTGCTTTTTCATAAGATACACGTATAAAAAGCTATAGAACTTTATTAAAATCTGATGTAGCTCAGTATATTAAGTTTCCAATTTGTATTACTCCTGCCAGTCTGCTCCGAAGTATCTAGAAGTTAGCCAGCCACAGTGTCTTTAGCTAAGCGTGAAGAGAACTTTTGATTGACAGCTGGTAGCCTCTTGGAGGGAAAATGGGCCTGAACACAAATAAAATCTTGGATGAGCAGAAATGAGTAGATTTGGGTCGCTGGACGGAAACTTCAGGAAATGAACTACATTTTCCAATGGCCATTGCAGGAATAACGGGATCGTGACCTCGTGCTTCCGGTTGCAGGTTATCGCGAGAAGTAGTTGAATGCTGAGGCGGGACGGGTGGTTGCTGGGGCTCGGCCGTTATCAGCCGGCGTTACTAGGCCTCGGTAATACCCGGTTTACGTTTGACAGCGCAGAGCAGGTGAATAAAAAAAAAAACCACGGGCTAGATTGTAACTCATTCAAAATCCCTTAATTTACGGAGAGTTCAAATTGAACATTTTATTCAATTTCCGGCAAATACGCACAGGTCGTTAAAGTAATCTAAACTTCTGGAAAATAACGGGAATATACGATGTTGTGATCAGGCTCGACTTTATCTCACGTTATTGGACGAAAAGCAGGAAAGTGGAGTTGAGATATATCCGAACAGTGGTGATCTCATTGAATGGCTGAGCGGACTCGATAGGGTGAATGGTAACTCCCTGAGGACGATTGTGTTTTTTTTTAACCAGTGAAACTCACCGCATCACAAAGTCGGGGCCATTGAACTGAAGCAGTGACGGTGATTATCTTTGCTGGCTGTTCGCCTTGTGAATGTTACCATTGCTATTCATGTCGTGTTAGCACCATAACTGCAGCCTGTAAGAGTAGGTTACTGGAGTGAGTCTGGAGGACACAACCACTGCTCAATGGAAATTGCTGGAGAAACTCAGTAGTATCTGACAGCATGTGTGGAGAGAGAGAAAACAGAGTTGATATTTCGAGTCCAGTGACCCTTCTTCGGAACCGTTTTCTCTCGATGGTTTCTCCAGCACCCACCCGCAGCTCTTTTTTATCTCACTGCTCAGTAGACGCTGATCCAGGGGACTGACCTAGTAACCAAGACATGACTCCCAACAGGGGTAAACTAACCTGATAACCAGTACCCTGACTGAGAGAATTGACCTTGTTAACCTGCGCACCAAACCTGTGATTAGGGAATTAACCTCGTAGCTGAAAGCCAACTGTGTAACCGTGGTAGTGACCTTGGAAATAAGTGTGATTTGGCAACCTTGCTGCTGAATAATACCCAGGGCCCACTGAGCTTATTCTAACCTGGGCATTTATTGTGTAATAGTATTCTAGTGATTCTCTGACGATTCTGGCACCAAATTTTTATTTCAACATTATACTTTATTTAGAAAAAAAATCTATAAGTACATACAAAAGATCCTAAAAACAGTTCTGTGCAGTCTTTGCAGAGCAAAAAAGAGACACGATACATTGGAATTTGATATTCTTTAGAGCTTCCCTGTAGTTGCAAAACAAAGATGTTTTCTACTTGTACAGGAGCCTATTTACTTTTAGTTTGAGTCAACAAGGGATCTGACAACTGAATATTCCCTCGTTATACTTTGGCCAAAAGACCTTAGATGGTTGTCTTTCCCCACTGTGTATTTGCAGCAGCTACCCCAAACTTTAGTGCTTCCCTTCAGCATGTGATGCTGGAACTTGGAATGCTCCAGTTTGCAACACACAATTCGGGCACCAAAACAAACACTCCAAGGAGCTGACTGCAAGTTTTGGGTTTGGACTCAATGAACTAATGCCACAAAATGGGCTTTGACCAATCCAGTAAATGGGCACTGACTACTGCCAAAGTGTTGTTTAATCTAGCTTCGCAAAAATTGACTGCAATGTTTACCATCACAATTAGCTGCACTTCCAAAATAATTGTACAGAAATTTCAGACATTTCTCCAATTATGCAGTAGATAAATGGTAATATTTTCATGAAATGACATGCCTATTCTTTGGCCAATATTGCATTAAAGATCAGATCTGTTATTATTACAGAAAATTCCTGTTTGCAGGCATGTTTACAGAGGAAAGGTAATTTCAATGTAAAGTAATTAGTTTCTCAACTATTCAAAAGCTGTGGCAGTTTAATATGATTTTTCAGACATTGTGTTCTTTTACCAGTATATTTGCAGATTTATTTTGTTAAAATACTGCCCCTTCAAATCAAACCTTTTGTTCTCCGATCGGGGAACTTTAAGTTCAATTTCATGAGTGCTGCTTGATTTTGCTTCATTTAACTGCCTATTTGTTTGGAGCGGGAAAAGAGAATGGTGGTAGAATTTCAAATATGATGACCTTACAGTAGAATTATTAGGATGTAAATCCCATCCAAGAGCATTGCTAACAGCATTCACTAGATAGTGATGAGCAGTGGAGGTGTGAGCAGTTTTTTTCATCTATCGTACAGGCTGAGTTAGATTTTTGTATCTTTGCCTTTTTTTTTGTCAGTTAAAATATTTCTCCAGCATAATAATGTCAGGTGTCAAAATACATTTAAGTGACGAAAATAAAGGTACTTCAGTTTTATTTTGGTGGGTATCAAGACAAACTGGATAATCTGAAAATTAGGCAAGTTTAAGCCTTGAAAGAACAGTCTATACGGTCTAGGCCCAAAACGTCAGCCTTCCTGCTCCTCTGATGCTGCATGGCCTGCTGTATTCATCCAGCTCTACACCTTATTATCTCAGATTCTCCAGCATCTGCAGTTCCTACTATCTCTATACATGGATTGTGTTTTGTTTGTGTTTTGCTACTTTTTATAGTCCAGTCCATTTATGATGAATACATAACAGGATTGAAAATATGGTTTCCAGATCAGCAAATTAGGCGAGTGATCTGACAGAAGTAGTGCTGATGCAGAGTTTTTAGTGAAAATCCAATATGCTTCTAAATTCCAAGAAAATATGAGGAACCTTCAAACTTTCTGTTACAGGTCACAGGCTGGTGAAAAGGACTTATGTTTATGGTTTTATTTCTGCAGACTTTTTCAACACACAGGAAATGGATTCTTTACCTGAGGATATGACGATGCGTACCCTAATTAAAGGTATGATTGCCGAAGAGGTTCCACAGAGCATAGTGCGTCCAGGGACACACAGGTAAGAATGATATCTCGCCAGGTTATATTCATCTGCTGCCTCCTTCAAGACCACTGATATAAGTTATCGTTCCTAGCAAAAATGCCTGCTCAGGCACTCAGACGAGTGAAGCATTTGAGGATACTTAATGAAGGGTCTAGCCTCTGTTCGTGCTTGATTTTGAATCTCCCCACTGTCAGAATTTATCAACTGCACTGACTGCCAGGTTAAGGCATTGTCTTGAAATCCTATAGGATTCTGCTGTACAGAATCAAATTTTCCTCTTGACGTTACTGTTTCAAGCTCTCCTGAATGTTCAAATCTGTGAACTGGGGCTGCCTTTCAGCACTTTTATCTGTTGTGGTCTGAGACCAACTTTGTTCAAGTAAATGTTTTTAACTGGGAGTTTGCCAGGTTTCGAAAGAACCAGCTCAAGTTGCCCCTTATGGCTTAGTTGCAGATTTTACGGTATTTCCCCATGTCTCTGATGTTTGAGTTTTGTGTGCAATTTAGTGTGATGCTGTTTTCCAGTTTAAGAATCTGAAGGAAATTGATGTTTTACTGATGAACTCAGAAATAACAGTGTAAATTGTGCATTACCAGCTTGAGCTGCTTTTGTGCTAATGTTGCTACACAGGTCTGTGGTACTCTGAGACCTCTGAGCCTTAACGTCCCAACAAATTGAAGAAGAACTAATAGTAGTGAATGTAACATTTTGTGCTACCTCAGATGACAGCACGTGGGGCACTGCAACAGTCAAGTCTAGGCTGTTGTGTATATTGATAATTTAACATTGTTGATGGGAAAACCGCGTTTTTTTTTGTCACTGCCACAATATGACCATTAAAAGTCCACTTGTGCAACAGCATCAGAATTTACTGCTCAATAAAGTTGCTGTTGAGTCCCTTCCAAAAATATAAAATCAAGTTAGCTTGTCATATGTCATTTTCCATCGAGTACTGAATTCAATGGTGCAACAATGTGTGGCCACACTGATTTGACTTGACATTTTTCAGAAAGTCTGTTCAGTGGTATAATCAGGATTGAAGGTGCACAGACAGCCATCATGTATTCCAGTAAGAAATGTTTTTTTCAACAAGGCTTAACGAATACTCTATGCAGATGTAACTTCATCCACAGTTAGTGAGTTATGACACCCACAAATCATTCTGCACCAATTATTTAGATCTTAATTATTTTTCTCTTTAAACATAGGTTATGGAAAAAGACAAGTACTCCCAAAAAGCTCATTGATGTCCCTATGCAACAGTCTCCAAGTATGGTTCTCCGTAGTCAAATGAAAGCAAAAGTTAAAAGTTCTCAGCTAACTGATGCTGCTGTGAGTAATGGACCATTTTCTGCTTTTGAATCAACATCATTTTGTTTTAATGTATTGTTGCAAAGAAGTTGGGTATTTAGTTTTTTGAAAGTAAAATTTTCAGTAAAGTGTCTCATCATGCAGTATATGGTGTCATATCATGTTCTAGGATGCTCCTTTGCAGTAAACTGGTAGTTTGGCTCAGTTGATAGCACTCATGTTTTTGAGTCAGAGGTGATGAGTAGCCACTGAAATGCAGAAGAGCTGCATTATTTGAGGCATTAAAACAAAGCCCCATCCACCTAATCAGCTGTAGTAAGATCCTGTGACACTGAACAGAAGGATTGAATTTAATATCTATGACTTTATACTCTGATGCTTGAAATAATGGGCTTTGGAGTATGGAGGATATTAGAAAATGTCTATTTCAAGATATCTGTGTTGCAGTAGGTAACTTTGTGGATCATATTTTGGTATTCTGGGGGCAGTGCAAGCAAGCATGGTTATGATCTAAAAGAAACAATGCATGAGTTCATTAAACAACAATTTCTAAAGAACTGCAGATGCTGAATGTCAGAAACAAATAGAGAAATTGCTGGAAAAACTCAGCCAGTCTGGCAGCATCTGTGGGAAGAAAGCAGAGTTAACATTTCGATCCACTGACCCTTCTTCAGAACTGATTTTAGCAAGGTAAAGATTGGTGTATATGCTGAAGGTGGGTTGAGGGGAGGAATAAGCCAGCGGCGAGAGTAGGAGCAGGCAGCCCGAGGCGGCAGTCAGGGCGGGGTCAGGCCTTGTGATGAATGCGAGCCCAGGACTGTGATGTTGAACTATTAACTGTGTTTCTTTGTTTTTTCTATGCTGTAGTAAGAAAGACTGTAATGTTTAACTTCATGGCTTGCTTTCGTTTTTCTGCTTTGTACTAAGATTCTAGGTATATTTGTACCTAAGATGGCATCGTAAGTGGTAGCTTGTAAACTGTTCACTGTACTCATGCGAGTGAGTACATATGACAGTAAAAGCTAATTCTAATTCTAAATTATAGTGGAGATGGAGCCCAGAGAGAGGGAAACACAGGCAGTCAAAGGAATGAGAAAAGGCCAGCATGGGAGAATCAGTAGTTGCTAATGGAGACTATTAGTGGCTGGCAATGTGTTGTTTGTGGTAGCAGCCCATGTGATGACAAGGTCTGGTATGTGGAGGTTGGGGTAAGGTCGTGGGAGAACATGCTCAGGCCTTAACATTATTGAATTCTACTGAGTTCTGAAGATTGCAGGGTCTCCAAGCAGAAAATGTGCGGGTGGCATGGTGGCTCAGTGGTTAGGGGTAGAATTGTAATTCACAGCGCCAGGAATCTGGGTTTGATTCCAGCCTATGGTGACTGTCTGCATGGCGCTTGCATGTTCTCCCGGTGTCTGTGTGGGTTTCCTCCGGGTGTTCCAGTTTCCTCCCAGTGTCCAAAGATGTGCAAGTGAGGTGGATTGGCCATGCTAAATTGCTCATTGTGTCTATGGATCTGCAGGCTAGGTGGATTAGCCAGCATAAATGTGGGGTTTATGGAGATAGGGCGAGGGTCTGGATCTGGGTGGGATGCACTTTGGAAGGTTGGTGCAGACTTGATGGACCAAATTGCCTCTTTCCGCATTATAGGTGTTTTACGATTCTGTGAAAATGAGATGCTGTTCTTCCAGCTTGTGCTGAGCTTTGCAGGAGCAATGTGGCAAGCCCGAGACGGTGATGTTGACCAGGCAACATAATTGTGTGTTGATATGGCATGCAACAGGAAGCTCAGAATCGTTTTTGCGGACACAGCGTAGGTGTTCCGCAAAGCAGTTGCTCAGTCTGTGTTCGTCTCCCCAGTATAGAGGAGACTACATTGTGAACAGCGAATACAGTAGACTAGATTGAGTGAGTGAAGTGCAGGTAAATCGTTGCTTCATCTGGAAGGTATATCTAGGCTCTTGGATAGTGAGGAGGGAGAATAAATGAGCAGGTGTTTCACCTTCTGCAATTGCATGGGAAGGTGCCGTGAGTATGGGGAAGCATTGGGAGTGGAGGAGGAGTGGGTCAAGGTGTCTTGGAGGGAACGGTACCTGCAGAATGCTGACAAAGGAGGGGAGAGGAATATATGTCTGGTCGTGGCATCCCACTGCAGATGGTAGAAATGGCAGCTAATGATCCTTTTCCTAGCTTCAATCAGTTCTGAACTTAAAACGTTAACTCTGCTTTCTCTCCACAGATGCTGTCTAATCTGCTGAGTTTCTCCAGCAATTTCTGTTTTTGTTTCTGAGTTCATCCTGTTCCATTACTATATGTCGAGACGAAAGTGTGAATATGTTGAAAGTGGGTTAGGAATTTCATAGATCATAGAAGATCATCGAATCCCTACAGTGTGGAAACAGGCCATTCACCCCACAAGTCCACACCGTCCCTCTGAAGAGCATCCCACCCAGACCCATCCCCTACCCCTGCATTTCCCCATGTCTAACCCACCTAATCTAAACATCCCTGGACACTATATGGGCAATTTAGCATAGCCAATCCACCTAACCCGCACATCTTTGGACTGTGGGAGGAAACCGGAACACCCGGACGAAACCCACACAGACACAGGGAGAATGTGCAAACTCCACACAGACAGTCGCCCGAGGGTGGAATGGACCCCGGGTTCCTGGAGCTGTGAGGCAGCAGTGCTAACCACTGAGCCACTGCTGTACAGGTTTCCGATAAAGATGTTGCAATCCCTCACTTATTAAGTGAGCACAACTCAAGAAAAACAAAACAAAAATAGAAATTGTGCTGTGCTATCAAATGAAATCTACTGCATTGACCCTTTATAACTGTCAAATTTTTATTATTAATTGTTGCCCTTGGCTCAGGGATCGTTCACTCCACTCTGAGTCAGGAGATTGAGTGTGAAATTCCCAGTCCAGATATTTGAGCAAATAAATTAGGCTGCTACTTTTGTGCTGTCCAAAGTAATGTTTCATTAAACCAAAATTTCATTTGCTGGCTCAGATAAAAGATCCCAAAAGCACGCTCTCAATATCTATTTACCCCTTAGCACACAATATTAAAATCACCTGATCATTTATTTCACAACTATTTGTGGAAAGTTACATGAGGAAATTGGCCATCGCCTTTGGGGTTCTGTAAATTATTTGAATTTTTATTTGAGTTCCTGTCTAGGCAATAAGTTGACAGATAGTAGTTTCAGTGTATTTTTTAATCAACCTGTTCCGAGATACTATAGCACAACTTTGGAGCAGGTGGGATTTCAATTTGGGCCTTGCTGACTCTTGGCCAGAAGTAGGGATACTACCACTGCACTTCAAGAGCCCTACAGTAGTTTTGGTGCATCAGATTAAGATAATTTATTGAGTAATAAAGCAATTCTTAACAATCAGCCAATAGTTTGAATCACACATGGCTTTCACTTTCTGAAACAGCTTGGACAC